GCACCAAAAAAGAAGCATAAGGTACTGTTAATGGTTCGATCCCCCGTGGCGACTAAATTTTGCATTTGAGGTTGGCGACTACGGTTTGATGCCAAATCGTGCTAGATGAGCGGGGGATCGAACCATCGAGGGTATCATTCACCACTTTTTTGATACTACTAAAACCGTTCAGCGAAAACGAAACATGGTTTTGTGGTCCATACATGCGTCCCTACAATATGCAAGGAACCGTTTCCAGAAGCGCGGCTTGCCCTGAAGCCCCTTCCCCCCCCCCTCGTTCGACACAACCGCTGCTGAGAAAGTTGAGAAAGTAGGAAGAGGTACAACTGTGCCGTCAGATTTTTCCTGCTTTGCACAACCCCCCGCTGAACATTTTAGTGTCTCACTTGGGGGTTGTTGGTGCAACCGTCGAAATGTCGGCGCTAGCGAGCCTTGTCGTCGTCACATCTGTTACGGAAGTAACAGCCTCAGTCGAGTTTTTCGGCTCATCAACGCAATCGTTCAGGCCTTTATAGCCTGCCGCACAGCCGGCCTCCAAACAGCAACATGTGTGCTAAAACGAAACTATTTAGTTCTCACGACATTATAATAAGCGAGTTCTTAAGACGGAATTCAATGAACTCGGGATTTTGATGTAGGCAAATAATAGCCTAGTATGTTAATAGTAAATATTCGCTATTGCTTGTGTTTGCAATTACACCAATAATAAATCATAATCATAATCATAATCACTACGCCTAGCAAGTTAGTGGATATAAACGAACTGCTTTCACACGCTGACGACAGCGTGACGCGCATGCGCGTCAGATTTACGCACGGATGACACTGGTTTTGTTGATTTATTTGGCATTTTTCGTGCTCTAGAACTGCCTGTCTACATTATCGGATAAAATATTCACGAAAGCTGTCGAGACGCATACACAACGGGCTGTCGTCAGTGCATTAATCAAGTCTCCACAATGCGCCACGCACAGAACTTTCATCCAGAAATGCAGAGTAAAAATTGCACCTTTGCTCCAAGCCCAGGAAAGTAAATTTTTCCACCCGACTGAAAAACATCCGCATCCTGGCAGGATTGAGTGCCGTGTAGGGAAGGTGGGACAGAGGAACCATTGTTTGAAACTCTCGAGCACCTCACAAACTTACGCCATTTCCAAATTTTGATCACCACACACTTTATTGCTACCCTCAAAAGGGAAATCTAAGCAATCTACTCGGATAGCGGCCTTTTC